TCGGCTCGTAACAATAATTTTCTTAGAGCTCTAGTGACTTTAAAACGAGGCTCAGAAAATGAACAACAAACAAACGATAGATGACGCTACAAAGAAAAACAAAGATGCGACACAGAACGTAGAAACAAGGGCATGAACAAAGTCCATTAAATTACGGGGGATAGTGAAGGATTAATGGAGCAATAAAAAGTCCTCGTATGTGCATCGATGAGACTTCAGCGCATTTTTGGCGTGACGGATCAGTATTGCATTAGCAATCAGTATTTTATCAGAAAATTTTAATTATAAAATAAGGTTTATGCAAACATATATTTCTTTATTAATTTTCACGAACTCTAATAATAATTGGACGATGGTATGAACAGTACGACTCGTAAACCGAACAATCAACAGTGTAGTTGACCATTTTGCCAAAAACTCCGTCAATTATTGTTCCGCCATTCGTTGTCACTGTTCGGGGAGAGATGATCACTATATTGAATTTCTCTTGAAGAAATTTCTCTACCCGATTTCCGACAGTTAATGGGAAATTAAAGTCTCCCATAATCAAGACGTCTTCAGTTGCCTCAATGAAATCCCCGATCTCCGATAACGCTGCAATCAACAAGTTGTTGCCTTTACTAGGAGCATCAGTGGTTCAAATTTCAAAGAAATATCTCCATAAATAAGAAAGTTGGCATTGCGCAGTCACTGCGCATGCCTACACATAATTTTTACTATTTGCGAAATGTTTGCCTTTACTAGAAGCATCTGTGGTTCCAATTTCAAAGAAATATCTCCATAAATAGGAAAGTTGGCATTGCGCAGCGCAGTCCCATTCCGCAGGGACTGGGCATGCGCACACATAATTTTTAGTATGTGCGCAATGTTTGCCTTTACTAGAAGCATCTGTGGTTAAAATTTCAAATAAAAATCTCAGTAAATAGGAAAGTTCGCATTGCGCAGTCACTGCGCATGTCTACATAATTTTTACTATGTGTGAAATGTTTGCCTTTACTAGAAGCATCTGTGGTTAAAATTTCAAAGAAATATCTCCATAAATAAGAAAGTTGGCAATGCGCAGTCTGCGCAAAATAGAGAGTGCAATAAAACTGTCTGAAATGGGCAAATATAGACCATAGCAGCTATCAATTAGCGAAAACCCGAAGTCTCTAGGTGTCCCAGGGGCCGAGATCTCGATGGAACGGACGGACGGACGGGCGGACGCACAGACGGAAACACGAGTACATAAGCGTTACCTCAACTTCGTTGTGTTACGCTAAAAACCGCTCAGACCTGGATACGATATTTTTAACCAAAATTATACCACAAACTGTAAAACTCATCACCGTGTTATGATTTTGATTAGTTTTCACCTTGAAGTAGTTATCCTAGATAAGTCATATTAGTGACCGTAGTTAGGCAATGCCAAAAGTATATTTTATAAAAAAGCCATTCCTCTACGTCAATCGGATCGGCTTAAAATCGATATACGCACGGACAAGTTTTCAAGCGGCGTTAGTTATTTCGCAAATTCTAATTAAACGCAACCACTACGGGCTTAATGAATGTCCATTGCGCCAATAACTCGACAAGACGGAGATAATGCAAAAAACCGGACCTCTCTACGATGTCAAAAGTTTTTCAATCCGCCCAGCCAGCCAGCCAGCCAGCCGGACAAAGTGAAATGATAAGCTCCTTTTTGTTACCAAAAATGCGCTAAAAAGTGAAAGGTGAAAACGGAAAGGTGAATATAAGGGAAATAAAGTCAAATTTCGGTATAGTTTAAAATCACAAAAAATAAAAGGAACTCTAGGGAATAATACGCCACTGGTATAAAAACAAACAACAAAAACAAAAAAAATCCCTAATAATAAAATAAAATATTTACACGAACCTAAAAGAAAAAGAAAAGAAAATGTCATGCGGGGTTTTGAAAGCGCCAAAGCAGGTTGCTGGGAAAGAGATTTAAAAAAAAACTTAAGAGTTTGTGACTTGGTTTGTTTGGAAAAAAATGTATTTGTCAGTCAAGTGTTTATGTTTTTATGTTACACACAATGAATGAATGGAAGGCTAAGGTTAAGTTACGAAGTTAGAAACGGTTAGAAGAAGCATTTCAACAATATATGTAAAATCAAACGTCCACTCCTACCGTTATAATAGAGCGATTTCATTCTGAAAAGCTTATATTCTCAATTCAGACGTTTCAACGTAAAAATTAGCAAGCACAGCTCTCCAATAGGGGTAGGGGTTGATTATCTTTTATAATCGTTGTCAGGGGCTGTGGTAGAGTAGATGAAAGAATTCTATTTTATTGTGCCTTTTTTTAATTTCAAAAATCAATTTTACTAAAAGCTGTGCAAAGGAAAACTTTGTGTAAGTATGCAATGCGCTTAACAAATCATTGAATGTTTTGCTGTAATTGAATTTCATTTCAAAGTTGCCGGCGTACGTAGGTACAATGAAAATAAAACAAATCCAATAATGTTCAGAAACATTTCATTTACTTTGAAGAGAGTTAACCCGAAACTAAACATTAACAGATATTACGCGTTTGCTACATGGATAAAACCGAATGCGTTCACTAAATCCCATTTTGATTAAAAGGATCACAACTACGAAACGCGTTAATGGATATTAATAATCACTTTATATGAAAACGCCTAGGTACTTTACACTATTAAGTACAGCAATCCTATTATTTGTGCATCAAATGGTAACTGCGTAACACTTTTCAGGGTGTAGGTCTAGGGAAGTAGGAAAGAATAACGCTGTTTTCGACATTTTGTTCTAAAAACAGAAAGGTTGATACTTTCGTTATATTAGGGATCGTGCAGCTCTGAAAAGCTGCAAAGATAAACATAGTCAACCGAGAATTTTGCCCTTAAAATAAAGTTGCTTAATCTTCCCATAATTTGACATTATGTTGTAAAAGCCGTATTACGTAACTGTCATTTGGATTCCTCTGATAGTTGCAATTGCGTTGCGACATCTGTAAACGTTTTCTTTTTCCTAACACCTCAAATGCGAAAGCTTATTTCTACCCAAAAGTGACGCATTTTCTGATCAATGTTAATTACAAGTTTACCTTCGGAGTATTCAAATAAACCCATAACGTTTGACAAATAAATAACGAATTTAGTGAACAAATAATTTAAACTTACAAAATTTAATTAATGTCTTGGCTCGGGATAAAATGTTAATTATATACGAACCTTGAGATCTGGAAAAATAATAATACGAATCAGTGCCCATTTGTGTTAATTTTGTATTGTTCTCGGTCGGTGACATACATTTACACAAACGCTTCTCCTAATTTGTTATAAACAAGCTTGAGAAATGAATTTGTATAAGATGAATCACAATCGTTATTTTATCAAAAGCCAGTCGCAGTAATGGCATTAGCCACTCGCATTTGACATTTTCCTCAACGAAATTGGTACACCACTACGTCACCCGTCAACATACTAATAATTTCATTTAAACTATAATTATTTACCTATAAAAGTGTGGAAAATTACACATTACAAATAGGGGCATTTTACTAAAGAGTTTTTTATTACATTTTTCCCGAAATCATGTTAATATAAAACTCAAAACTCATTATAATATTAATGTGCCAATTTTTGACAGGACTCCTAGTCAGAAAACTGTTACTGCCACTATCATGGAAATTAAAATTTCCTGACACAAAGTGGGCTTGTAAATGAAGAAGGTTTCATGACTATTTCGGGAAAATGATCTTTATAGATAAGAAAAATTTTTCTTTGTGCGATCAAAAATGAGTTGCTTGTTTATCTATTGAATGTCAGCTGCTGCAAAGACATGGTTATTTAAATCATGAGCTCATGGATCTGCTACCTTTATAAAATAGTATATAAGACTCGGAGTTTATGATTTTTATGTCTTCTTTTCAGTCAAGGCTAAGTCGATGTAATTACACCTGGAAAACTCAAAATGAGAAACAAAAAAATGTACCATGATGAAAATATTTCAGTTACATTAAAAGATTTGGGTGTGGAAGTACGCTTATGTGGTTCTCGTGTAACACCCTGTATGAAATATAGTACGGTATTCAAATCAACTTGCTTTGTTGCCTTAGTGCTCTCCAGTATGCGGTCCAGTGACATTCAAGCAAAATAAATCGATCGGTTTGTGTTCTCAAACTGTAAGGGCAATTGTAAGTGCGAGACTTGAATGTAGTAATGTATTTATCCTGTCAATTGCTCTATAAATAGCTTTGTAGAAGTATGATTGTTGGTGTATAAAAAAATAAGCATCCGCAAATGTACTGCTCCCAGTATTTGTTTTGAATTATGCTCGTAATAGAGAATGAACAATGTTAATTATTGATGCATCAACAGTAAGTACTGAATTGAATACCAGATTAGATAGCGAGTTCTCCTAATTAAACATGAACAGTAATTAACACCACACCAGATAATAACTCATTGTAAGTTAACAATTCCTCATGCAACCTCTTTACATTATTCGACGTAAATGGAACCGTCTCATAAACTTAAACAATAATAAATATAAACTTTGTGAAGATTTATTCAGTATCTACTAAACACCAGGGATTAGCACAAAAGAGTTTCCCTTATATGAAGTTGCGACTTCTTACTTCTTTCACTTGGTAGTCCATCTTTTAGCAGCTCACGCATTTTAGAAGTGAGAGAATAAGAACGAAAATAATTGAAAAGTAAATAGTAAGTGATGCATTGTTCTTTAAGAACTTGCAATTACGCAGAAACTTTTCTATACAGCCACAATGGAATTCAATCTTGGAAAAGTGTATTTTCAGCGAGCGAACACTTGACATAGAATTGCAGGAGAAACTCACTCACTCACATAAATCTCAATTTCGTAACCTCCTTTGAATTAATTTACGCGTTCACCAACTATTACTTCCACTGCATAAATTAGCACATTCCGCATATGCTTTCTTCAAGAATTAGTCAAGGAGGATTTTGTGCGCAATGAAAATATGATAAATTTCAATTGATCAAAATGATACTCACCGAGGGCGTTTATCAAATGTCGGTCCGGAAGCTGTACGGCAACACCAAAACCGCCAAGTTTTACTGGAGCCGAATTTTCCATGGTCGCCAACAAGACACATTCTGGCTTAATATCTCGGTGTATAATATCGTTTTCGTGGCAGTATCTCAGAGCTTCCAGTATTTGCCTCATGTAATGACTGCAAAAAGGAAACTGTTAGTATGCATAAGTGAAATAAAATAAATGTGTAGAGAAATATATCCAAAGAGCTCCTGGTTATGGCGAATGCTATGCTCAGTTTAATTTTCATGCAATTCGCTTCATAACTAACGGATATGTCAAAAGGGCTTTCCTTCTTTTTTGGCTTACATTGCTAATTCACAAACCCAAATCTACAAATTTGATAAAGAATCCATCTGCAAATTTCATCGTTTTTGAGATATCGTGCTAACGGACAGACATCGCAAGGAGTTCGTTAATAATTGTCGATATACTTATAGCTAATAATTTCAGATGGAAATCGGAGAACCCCGAGGATTGTATAAACGGAAAACTTTCTACTTGTAAAATTATTCACCTAAAAGTAACGCTTTCTAACTTAGATTACTTCCAAAGTTTGACTTAATTGCAAAAACAGGAGAATAAATGTTTAGCCTCTGGTTTAGCCTTTATTTGTGTACTAAACATCTTTGTTTTTTTAATAAACGACGAGTTCGTCTTAAAAGAACCTTAAAAATCATTACATTAGTGTTTATTAAAATGAATTTTTTAAATAAAAATGCTAACATTGAAACTACGTCACCTAAACGTTATTTCGGGCTAAACAACAAAAACAATGACGTCAAAATGCTAAGAAAATGTTGTTATCAGGGCAAGTTTTAGATCATTATGATCCAGATAAAAAGGTAAAGCTAACATGCGACGCGTCAGCAAATGCAATCACTTTCGTGACATTTTCTTCCTTCCACAGAAATTCCTGACCTCAGGAATTGACTCGTATTAACTGAGGTGAAAATACTCAATACTACTTGCTAACTCAATAAGAGAAAAATAGAGTAGAATTTCCAACACGTTCCCAGATACTTCCAGTCTATTTATCCATCCTGTATATCTTAAACTAAATACAATTTAACCATACTGTACAAGCATGTTTTACACCAAGGAAATGAATAAATGTTTATCACCAAAAATGTCTTGTATAATTAACCGCAATTTTTAACTTATCACTGTAAGATATGCAAGCATCCGTATCCACCAAAAATTACTTTTCGTAGTTTATTTGTGATTTGACCGTAACTGCACTAGGTAGGTATCATTAATTAGTTTTTTTGTCATAAATTCACAATTGTTCTTAAGACGTCTTTATCACCGTATTGTAAATTCGGTGTATTCGTAAACATTGTCTTTGGATAAGTTATTTAATATATTTTGACATGATCTCTGTACCAACTTTACTTAATAAAAGTGGAACTCCATAATCACTTGAAAATGTCTTTTTGACATAACTTCTTGTTGCTAATTGATAATATAATAGTTCTCCGTCCGGCGTCTACTAAAATTTGATCATCAATGGAAAATTTGTTTCCAACAGTTTCAAATCAGCATAGTTTAAAATTGTAGAAAAAATGTACGTATTTATGTTGACAAAATCTTTCCGTACAATTTAATCTCTGGTTTTGATACTTTAAAAATAACTTGTCTAGTCGTTTGCTAAAAACTTACTATACGTTTGGTAAACGTTCTAAACAAATTTCCGATCTGATTTCAATTATGGCATTACCTCCTGCTACTAGGCAGATTGCGATTTCAACTAAAGTTTTCATTATAGACCCTTCGATTCTCATCATTCTAACGTTTTACTTTACTTAAAATGTGATCACCTTTGAATGTACCTTTATAATCTACTTTATACTTGTTTTCCTGTACTTTACCTTCATAATTCATATACATTAACACATTATACTCAATAATTTTGAAAACTCTTCAACTCTTAACTTCAGCAACTACAACAACCGAAAAAGAGGGCTCCTGATATGAACGCGTCACGCATAAGGATATTTAAGAATATGATAACAACTAACTAAAAAACTAAGATGGAGCATACGATGAAGGTTCGTGCAGGGCAGTTAGCTGAAGATTATAAACCACATGATAACTGTGTACCATGATCGTAAGCTTACTTCCCCGCACGATAAAATTAAAAGTAGCCAGAAAAGGCCAACAAGGAGATCTGAAAGAAAAGAAAACATAAACCTAGAACAAGCAGTTATAATTTTACTTAAAATACAATAAAAATTCATACCTCAAAAGAAAGTCGGCCTTACTACTACGACTTCTTGTAGCTCCATCCAAGTAACACACTTAGGTAATAAGGTATAAAATCTACTAAGGTTTTGTAATTTAACAGGCATACCCGTATCATCGATATGCAGGGAATCAGAGGAAAAGGGCGAGAACTCGTTGTGAAAGAAATAGCTATACTAAATAATGTTACGAACAAGATGACCAAGTTACACTTCGCTCCTCCTTATGAGTTCGAGGAGTTAGAAACGAAACACATGCTCACAAATGCCTGGTTGACTAATCGATTTCATGGATTACGTTGGGAAAACGGGGAATCTCCGTACGAATCGCTTCCTACCATCCTGCGGGCACTATTACCCCGATTCCTGATAAAGTGTCGGGCTGAGAAAAGGCCGGCTTTTTAAGAAAATTCGTACCAGGTTTATCTCCATGAGACCGACATAGCAATCCCTCACGCACTAAATGGAGCTTGCGAGCTACACCAAAATTCGAATGACCTGTCTACACTTCGGCCTCGGATAGCGATAGTTTTTTAAACTAAATTTTTTATTTATCTCCTCTCTTTATAACGGGCGATCAAAAATGAGTTGCTGTCGAGTCGCCTTTGGAAGTTCAAGTTAAATACAATTTCCCATGTAAACAAAAGTTCCAAAGGTGACTCGACAGCAACTCATTTTTGATCGCATGGTACACAGTGATATATATATATATATATATATATATATATATATATATATATATATATATATATAGATTTAAAAAGCGCTAAGGTGAGATCATTTTCACATATATTGCAGATAAGGTGAGATCCATTTGGTAAACCCGAGATCCGTTTTCGGATCTCGCCTTTTTTATTGTGTATATCGAGTCTATTAGCTCGGTCGATCATACAGGAAGCTAAATTTCAATTTTCGCCCGGATCTCAACTTTTAGGTTTTTGTCAAAATTTATACACGCGTAGTTCTTGAATGATCATCTTAGGGGGCGCTCCTTACGTTATATACAATACGTTATATTTTAAATAATGTGAGATCCAAATAAACGGCAACATTGTAAAGCGGTACTCTCACTTTAAAGTGCGATAGCAAATAATGAAAGAGGTAGATGTACTATGTGCGCTTTAACGTAAATAATTTGTTATCTGCTACCTTGTATGTATTATTCCTAATCCACGTTACGTTATAAGGGCGGATTTGTATTAAAGAGATTAAACTGGTGGATTGAGGAGAAATGTAGAATAACGTTTATTATATTTTAGTAAGCAGATTAAATTAATAATTAAAATAAGAGGGTCATAATGGATTGTAAGGGTATCGTAACTATAAGCTAGGAACACACCTACCACGGTGCCCAATAAGGGAATTTGGCACACTTTCAATGACCACTTGTATTTTGATCAAAAGATGTCAAAAACGTTATTTCTATACCAAGATCATCGGGAAAAGAACCACAGATTAATATTACAGCGCTGTCTAAAAAGAGAATTTGGTAAATTGTTTATGATTGATTTTACCAATTAGGTACCGTACACATTTAGGCAGAACGTACCACGTATTAACCATACGGCAAAAATTGGCCGTTCTGATTGGACCACGGCGAAACGCGGTACGTTTTGTCCAAGTTGGGTCCTAACGCGGTACGCTTTGTCACCGCTTTGGTTTTATCCTGATTTCTTTGGGTTTGGTGTTTACACATGATTGCCGGATAAGTTCGATATTTTTGAACCGAAATTGTCACCTCCATGATTTGAACCAATTTGACTAACCCAGGCATCTGTCTTAAAAAATGAACTTTTTGCAGATTTCGTTACGAAATACTGAACAACCTAATGGTTTACATGTAATCATAAGCAAATAACTTTAGAGTTCTTGTGATTGCTTTTTACCAACCACGCACCATAAGGTACTAGAAGAGAGATAAGAAAGCAATTTGATAATGAGTTCTTTGGATTTGGTATTTACACATGATTGTAGGATGAATTAGATGTTTTTGAACCAAAATGGCCACCTCCATGGTTTGAACCAATTTGGCTAACCAAGGCATCTTTCTTAAAAAATGAACGTTTTGCAGATTTCGTTACGAAATACTGAACAACCTAATGGTTTACATGTAATCATAAGCAAATAACTTTAGAGTCCTTGTGATTGCTTTTTACCAACCAGGCACCATACGGTAATGGACGAGAGATAAGAAAGCAATTTAATAATGATTTCTTTGGGTTTGGTGTTTATACATGATTGGAGGATGAATTAGATGTTTTTGAACCAAAATGGTCACCTCCATGGTTTGAACCAGTTTGACTAACCAAGGCATCTTTCTTCAAAAATGAACTTTTCACAGATTTCTTTACGAAATACTGAACAACCTAATGGTTTACATGTAATCATAAGCAAATAACTTTAGAGTTCTTATGATTGCTTTTTACCAACCATGCGCCATACGGTACTGGAAAAGAGATAAGAAAGCAATTTGATAATGGGGTTTGGTGTTTATACATGATTGGAGGATGAATTAGATGTTTTTGAACCAAAATGGCCACCTCCATGGTTTGAACCAGTTTGACTAACCAAGGCATCTTTCTTCAAAAATGAACTTTTTACAGATTTCTTTACGAAATACTGAACAACCTAATGGTTTACATGTATCATAAGCAAATAACTTTAGAGTTCTTGTGATTGCTTTTTACCAACCATGCACCATACGGTACTGGACGAGAGATAAGAAAGCAATTTGATTGGGTTTGGTGTTTATACATGATTGGAGGATGAAGTAGATATTTTTGAAACAAAATGGCCACCTCCATGGTTTGAACCAGTTTGACTAACCAAGGCATCTTTCTTCAAAAATGAACTTTTTACAGATTTCTTTACGAAATACTGAACAACCTAATGGTTTACATGTAATCATAAGCAAATAACTTTAGAGTTCTTGTGATTGCTTTTTACCAACCATGCACCATACGGTACTGGACGAGAGATAAGAAAGCAATTTGATTGGGTTTGGTGTTTATACATGATTGGAGGATGAATTAGATGTTTTTGAACCAAAATGGCCACCTCCATGGTTTGAACCAGTTTGACTAACCAAGGCATCTTTCTTAAAAAATGAACTTTTTGCAGATTTCGTTACGAAATACTGAACAACCTAATGGTTTACATGTAATCATAAGCAAATAACTTTAGAGTTCTTGTGATTGCTTTTTACCAACCATGCACCATACGGTACTGGACGAGAGATAAGAAAGCAATTTGATAATGATTTCTTTGGGTTTGGTGTTTATACATGATTGGAGGATGAATTAGATGTTTTTGAACCAAAATGGTCACCTCCATGGTTTGAACCAGTTTGACTAACCAAGGCATCTTTCTTCAAAAATGAACTTTTTACAGATTTCTTTACGAAATACTGAACAACCTAATGGTTTACATGTAATCATAAGCAAATAACTTTAGAGTTCTTGTGATTGCTTTTTACCAACCATGCACCATACGGTACTGGACGAGAGATAAGAAAGCAATTTGATAATGATTTCTTTGGGTTTGGTGTTTATACATGATTGGAGGATGAATTAGATGTTTTTGAACCAAAATGGCCACCTCCATGGTTTGAACCAGTTTGACTAACCAAGGCATCTTTCTTAAAAAATGAACTTTTTGCAGATTTCGTTACGAAATACTGAACAACCTAATGGTTTACATGTAATCATAAGCAAATAACTTTAGAGTTCTTGTGATTGCTTTTTACCAACCATGCACCATACGGTACTGGACGAGAGATAAGAAAGCAATTTGATTGGGTTTGGTGTTTATACATGATTGGAGGATGAATTAGATGTTTTTGAACCAAAATGGCCACCTCCATGGTTTGAACCAATTTGACTAACCAAGGCATCTTTCTTCAAAAATGAACTTTCCACAGATTTCTTTACGAAATACTGAACAACCTAATGGTTTACATGTAATCATAAGCAAATAACTTTAGAGTCCTTGTGATTGCTTTTTACCAACCAGGCACCATACGGTACTGGACGAGAGATAAGAAAGCAATTTAATAATGATTTCTTTGGGTTTGGTGTTTATACATGATTGGAGGATGAATTAGATGTTTCTGAACCAAAATGGTCATCTCCATGGTTTGAACCAGTTTGACTAACCAAGGCATCTTTCTTCAAAAATGAACTTTTCACAGATTTCTTTACGAAATACTGAACAACCTAATGGTTTACATGTAATCATAA